GAACTGCTTACATTACAGTTGCTTCATTCAACGTCTTAGAAAGTTAGGCAGTACAAAAAATTGCAAGATAATCATAAGTGGAAAACATGCCCTAAAAATATAAAGATGATGAAAAAAGTGTTTGTGTGAAATGTAAAGTGCACATTATTCTAAGAGCATAGTGACGTATACAGTTTAATGGGCAGTGTCGGAGTTGTATTTGTGTTATTGTGAATATTAGTTAAATGTGTGCTCATAGACTTGCTCTGTACAACTGTTGTGTTAACTGTTTAACTGAGGTTGATACTACGGCACCAACTTTTACATGTGTGTGTACACAACGACAAACAAAGCTGTTGTCTCTTTGCCTGTGGCTCCAGCATCAACTAATTCCTTGCTGCTGCGCAGTTTATCTGAGATGAACATCTTGATGTTCTCTCCCTCCGCTGTCTTCACCATTTCAGCTTCCTCCTCCCTAAAGACTCTTCTGCTTAGTGATTAGCGGCTTAAAATATACCATTGTGTGAACTTTAGTCATTCTGCAGCGCCCTGAACAGAATCACTCAAACGTATAGGTGATTAAAACCAGACTGACAGGTGTGTCGTGAAGTCTGCGGGAAAAAGTGCAGCAAAACCGTCTCTCCATTAGCTCAATTAGATTACCTTAATCTGATATCGGCTATTTCAAGTCATCGCCCAATTATATTTTTTCTTGGTGGCCCCGAGCACTGGAGTGTGTGTTTATTTATTGCCTGCCTCCATCCCAACAAACACACAACACACACCCATAAATACACATTTATTTTTGCTGAAAGCTAAAAGTTCAGTTCCATAACACTAGCAGTCATTCAAAATCACATGCATTTATTTTTAATTAAAATCTAAACTTAGGTGTTTTGCTGCAGAGTATTTTTATATTCCCTGGAGGCACTGAATGTTTAATTCATTTCTCATCATTCAGCCTTGAGATTGCTTGTCTTCACAATGTTTCTACTTGACCTGAACTTCTTTGAGTTTTGTACTTTTCTATTTGGAAGTTAATGCATTTCTCCAAGGTCGACTGAAGACATTATTACTTTTTATTCATGATCATTGCTTTGTTAGTAAAAAAATAAATAAATAAATAAAAAAATAGAACACTAATTTTTTTGCCCAGTTTGTTCACAATTGTGTTATTGGCTGGTGTGATTGTTTGGCAGCTATGCAACCACCTGTGAGGGAACATCAGGGTAAATAAAGTAAGGAGCGAAGTCGAGGCCCTAAAAAAAAAAAAACAAGAAGTGATATGAAGACACCAGTTGTTAATTTTGTATGTTGCTAGCAAACATTTGTTGCCAAATCAAATCAAATCCAAAGCTATGTTACAAATGAGCTTATAATTAACAGCTCACAATAAGTGGGTCATTCCAGTTCAAATCATCAGGGGCCTTCTGTTGAAAAGTTGTACCACAAAAACAAAAGTATTACTTGATAGCCTCATTCAAGTAGAAAAGAGTTCTGAAGTTTTGAAATGGTTCTCCAAACATAATGGAGAGCTTTTTTATTTTTTTTTCATGTGGGCATATTTCAGATCCCACTTTACAGGCTGGTCAAACAGAGATGCTAGACGGTAGCCTCTTCAGCAGTTACTATAAATATACATGTACTCACTTAAACTTTCTGTGGCACTGGTCTTTAAGGCCAAGTTTATTCCCAGTGGAATGCAAAGTGAGAGAATCGCTTTTATTTTATTTTATTTTTTTGGTCTTTTTTGCCTTTATTTGATAGTTCAGTTGAGAGAGAGACAGGAAAGTGGGGGATAAGAATGAGGGAAGGACCTGCAGAAAACAGATTTAAACTCATGACCTCTGCATTGAGAACTATGGCCCCTGAACATGGGATGGCATGACAATACGTTTACTACCGGACTTAGCCTTCAAGACTAATGTCACATGCAGAAGGTTGTGTTAGTAAATGTGCAGTCCTTAACAAATTAAACCACCTGTCTAATTTATTATTACTTATGAGAGAGAGAGAGAGCATCCACCATCATGAAGTGCTTTAATGCCACTCAGCTCTTGGCGTTTTACCATTTTGAACAGGAATGAGGAATTTGAAACTGAATTTCCCTTTTTGTACCCAGATCTGAGCCGGATCACTGGGCTTCTCTGAGAAGTCAGAAATTAATCAAGCATAACATTCAACGACTAAAACTGATTTTTCTGTTCAGGAATGCAAGTAAATAACTGTAATTTGACATCTTAATCAAGAAATTATGATGAACTTTACTTTTTTTTGTCTTTTCTTTTTTTTAAAAACAGCAAATCAGAAACTTCAAGGATAACAATAATTGTTATATTTTAGCATTAAAAACATAATTTTGGTTAAAGAGCTTCTACATACTGGTGAATTAACCATTACAGAAACATTAAAAAAAAAAGATTTTGTGATTACCACTGCTGTTAATTTAGACATGGAATGATGAGGGTTTTATCTTTAATACTTCCTGAGGTTTGTCTTTCAAACATAACCTCATATTTCAAAGGCCAAAAAAATATGCTAAAAGTGGATGAACGAGAAGTGTTTTTGTTGTTTATTATCTCTTAAGCTGAGCTCTCACAAAAGCTTAAACATGGTTATAGTAATAACCATATTTTATTTTATTTTTTTAAATCAGATAAATAGGAGACAGTGGAGAAGAAATTGTTCTAAAAATGAAATAACTTAAAATGGAATGACCTACGTAAGAAATACATAAAAAGCAAGCATACCATGATGTAAAAGTATATATCAAAGTATATTAATGTTTCTTTTCAAACTATTATTATTGTATGTCAGTTGCTGAACTGAAATCCAATAACTTTACTTGGTCAGATTGTGATTCAACAACGTGTTCACTTGAACAATGTAAAAATGTATTTATAAACTGTCGTATTATATCTCCCTGCCTTATGTTTGCTGCCAATTGAATGTATACATTTTTAATAATGGTGAGCTGTTCTAATGGAGATGTCATGAGGGATCTGACACACCACACACACACACACACACACACACACACACAAAGCCACAAGCTCTTCATGGAGGCCTCTCAATGTGGAACTTTATTATTTGATGGGGTGTTGAGGCGTGTCTATTTTTTTGAGACAGACGACAAACAACTTCTCTCATGCAACGTCATTTTATTCTATAATGTGATATTTTACTTGATCAAGACTGATCCAGAAAATCACTGTCAGCAAGCTGTTAATCTGGAACCAACTTCCCCAGTAATGGATGGAGCTTCACGTAAACATAAACATTTTATTCAGTGTGGTGCAAGGTGATTGGCTACTAAACACACAACCCTAACCCTAAAACAGACAATTAATTTAAATGGTAAAACATGAATGGCTATATGGTCGGGGAGGAACCGTGGTTTAAACTTAGCTCTCCCTTCGTTGGTGCACAGGGTTATACTGAACCACCAGCTGGGACCGAGCTGCCTGGCCTTGCCACCCCGGGGGCTGGCGCACCAACAATTCTGGACCATCACCAAAGCGAACCCTCTCCACTTCCCTCCCCTTCTCCCCCAAAGCAGACCTCCTTTCCAGCCCCAGACTTCCACTCAAGCTCTCCCCAACCTGACTCTCCCTCCTTCCCCAACCCCAATACTCTTATCAGCTGTGACCCTCTGCCCCTCCCTCACCCTGAACTCATTCCCCATCTTAAAGATCCACACAAACCTCCCCTCTTTTCTCCTTCATCATCAATGAGACCCCACAGACTTCTAATTCCATCTCCTTCCCCATTGATGGGACCCCATGTTCCTCCCTCCTCCTCCTCCTCCCGTCCCATCTTCCCCCCATTGCAACCCAGACCCACTCACCCACGGACCCATCCACCAATAAACCCATCGACCATATCGCACGACCCAGCTGCAAAATCCAGGAGTGACACTGCGAAGGCCAGAAACCAGTCCTGGTACTCGGAGATTCCAACATCAATCCCATTTCAGTCCACAACTACCTCCATCTTCAAATAGACAGTTACCCCAGGGCCACTGCATATCATTTGCTGAAAATTTGTGAAAAAACCCTCCGCAACCCCAACACCCAGATCATCATCTTCTCTGTCGGGATAAACAACTGCGACCAGGACCCCCAACAGACTACCATCAAGCAGTTGAAAGCCTTATTCTGCCAGGCAAAGAACACCTTCCCTCATACCGTAATTTACTTCCCCATCATGGATTCCTCCCCTCCTCATGCCCACACAACAACCCAACCTCAAACTCATCAACAATACCTGTCAGGGTCCCCTCCCCAGTCCCTGCATCTGCTCCACCTGATCTCCCTGCTTCC